GACTGTCATCGTAGTCTGTTTAACTTGGTATATTGTACCATGTTGTATTTTTATTTTTGTTAAAGTCATCTCTCCTAGATGTTACATAACACATGGCAGGAGAGGACTAGGAAAAAAAACAATGAAAAGTGATAATTTATAGATGTCATGCTATTACATACTAAAATGTTTGTGAACATTTATTCTCTGTGCCATACTTTTATTTATTGTTGATAATGATTATGTAACAATAAAATCTTTCTTTTTTATTCTTGTCCCCGTGATGTTCTATTACCTACTTGGTTAAAATTATGTAGATTGGATAGGCATGGCCTAGTGGTTAGTGCATCAATGTGTGGCTTAAAAGGTTCTAGGTCATAAGACGAGGTTACTGAATGCTTTCCGTTTTGTAAGCTTTGGGTGCATTATAAAAGTGGCTGTCAATCTATAAAGTTAAAAAACTGACAAAGCCCTTAAATTTCGTGTCTTAGTGGGTGCATCTGGCCCGATTGCTCTCCTTCTAGTTAATAGTCCAAAATTAGGGATGGTTAGCTTGGACTGTGGGGGTTTCTGACCTGGCCATTTTGCCAACGTGTGCATAATTCTAAGTTATATGTTAATTCTAAATATCAAAATTGAGTTTCGTATCTGTTAGTCTTACCCTTTACTTTAATCCTCGTTTCTTGTGTCATTATTCAAACAGTTTTTAAATGGCTGATTCCGTGTTTTTGAAAGATTCCTTCTACCCAACAAACTGTTTCTATTAACTAATAAGTAACTTGTTTTCCTATTTTTAACTATCAATTAAATGACCTATATAAAAGTGTGTGCAATTGAAAAAACAGCAGTAATAAAAAACTTGCTTGTTTAAGGAGATGGTATTACCTTTGCAGACCCCCAGGGATCCCCAGTTTGGGTATCACTGTTATAGATCTTAGAAAAAAGTTGTATATGTTTTACTCTGGTGTTTTGGAATTCGTTAACTGGCGACTACATATTATAATTTTACGAACAAGTGACATTATCAGTAGGATTAACATTACTGCAGTGATAGTATCTTTGGTGAAGTTGTTTTCAAAAATAAAGTAGAATAAAGGCACAGAAAAACACTAAAAATAAAGACTTAGAAAAATGCTATTTTGTTAGAATTTTTAAAAATAACATAATCTGACCTTGTGATTTACGTTTTAACTAGTTGCTTTAGCTTTTTATGAAATGTAGCAACATAAAATGGATATTGTTAGATAAACTAACTTGAAGGATTTAAAGCCTTCCTTAAATCGTATACACACTTGTTTTGAACCATAACTTAAACATTATAAATTCCTCTAACAGGGTTTTTCACATCTTCTGAAAATTATTACTATTTATTTATTATTATTTTTGTTATTGTTTATTTATTTATTATTTTGTTATTATTTATTTATTTATTATTTTGTTATTATTTTTGTTATTATTTATTTATTATTATTTGTTATTATTTATTTATTATTATTTTTGTTATTATTTATTTATTTATTATTTTTATTATTTATTTATTATTATTTTTGTTAGTATTTATTTATTTATTTATTATTTTTATTTATTTATTTATTATTATTTTTGTTATTTATTTATTATCATTTTTGTTATTATTTATTTATTATTTTGGTTATGTATCAACATCTTTGAAACTAATGGAATTTTTTTAAAATTAGAATATAATCTTCATTAATAAAGTTGCTTTAAAATATGAAATAAATGTATCCTTCAAATTATATGGAGTGGGGGATGTTAACAGGTTAACAAGGAGATCCTTTTGTGTATCATGTCTTCTGGATATATATTGGAGATCCTTTTGTGTATCATGTCTTCTGGATATATATTACCACTTAAGGCTATAAAATATCAATACTCCTATAATTTACATACTGATATCCTGGAGCTGTTTTGGAATGTTTCCGCACAATTCTGTACTACAATACTTTTAACACATTGAATGAAAGTGTTCCTGTGTGTTTGGAATCACCCCACATTTGAGGGGAGGAAGTAAGAGACATCACAAATGAGCTGATACCTGTGTTTATTTTTATTTCTATATTTATATTTTGTGCTGCACTCGCCGTATTTTACTCTTCAAAATTCTTTATTTCCTCATGAAGCTTCCGTTTGAATCTTGCTATAACCTTTAACCTTTTGTTTTTAGTGTTTTCAAAACTTTCTTGTGAGTTAATTTCTTTTCGTTTGGGTCAAAAAAAAATTATGAAAATTAAATTTGGTGTATTTTCAGAAGTTGAAAAGAAAACCATTTTTATATTCAGCATCCGTCACTTTTAAATAAAAAAGTTTAATTGGTGCTATCTAGTTGTATAGGAAGAATGAAAGTCGGAAAGTATTGAGCTAGGCTTAATGTTGAACTATCATTCTTTATTGCAAGTAGCTAGTGTACTTTTAAATAAAAGTTTAATTGGTGCTATCTAGTTGTATAGGAAGAATGAAAGTCGGAAAGTACTGATCTAGGCTTAATGTTGAACTATCATTCTTTATTGCAAGTAGCTAGTGTACTTTTAAATAAAAAGTTTAATTGGTGCTATCTAGTTGTATAGGAATAATGAAAGTCGGAAAGTACTGATCTAGACTTAATGTTGAACTATCATTCTTTATTGCAAGTAGCTAGTGTACTTTTAAATAAAAAAGTTTAATTGGTGCTATCTAGTTGTATAGGAAGAATGAAAGTCGGAAAGTACTGAGCTAGGCTTAATGTTGAACTATCATTCTTTATTGCAAGTAGCTAGTGTAAGTTTGACGTTATTTCAAGTAATATATAAAAGGCTGTTACATTATATAAGTATATTACACAGTCAGTCACTTGTTAATAATACAGTGCAAATTAATTATTAATCTGGTGGGTGGGAATGTTAATATAATAATATTTTACGTCAGATATTGATTAGTTTGGTATCCTGCGATTTCTTGCTGGAAAATATAGAGGTATCTCTAATGTGTAGTTATTATCTATGGAACTATATATATATTATAAATCTCTCTATGTTCTGCAATTTGAGAGATGTGAATGATTAGTTGAATTTCCTGTTCTTGGTGTTGAAGTTTAAGAAAATTCTAGATGGTACCATATTGGTTAAAATTTACAAAATTTGAGTTAACCTTGATTCAATAAAGCAAAGGGAAAATAAGTCAGTTGAATGGAATATGGTTGCCCAAAACATGTCTTGAGGGAGAGTTTCTATATTACTCGGTGCTTTATTGTTTAAATCCAATGTAAAATATGTTTATGCTATCCAAAAATTATTTTTTTTTGTCCCCTCTATTTTTTCAGATTATCGACATCAGAGATGTACTTCATCCTGAAACTATAGACCAGATGAAGGATGTGTATCCTTTTGTTTTTTTTCTGTACAGGGTGATTTTAGCTCTTCTCTGGCAGTAGATCCTAGTAAATGTTAACAGATAGTGGCAGCTTTTTTTTGTTTTGCACTGTTGACTTTCTTTTTTTTTGTCAACTAATATAACTTTTCATTGGATTTACAGATTAAAACATGTAAGATTTAGTTAAAGAAAAATTTAAGTTGTATTCAAGCTAATATAAAGGCATGTTAATGGTTCGTTGAGCCTTTGTTACACTGAAATGCAGAAAGTTAGTTTTGCAGTTCTTGTAACCTAAAGGTTTACTGGCTGAGCTATTAAGGAGTATGACTTTTTATACATAGTTTTATGACTCAGCTTTAAATGAAATTGTTATTCACAACTTTGTCATTATATTGGATTCGAAAATGAAATATACACATTTTTTTAATACTGTAATTGAGAAATATATGAGTTCATGGAAGAAATACTGTCAATCTAATTAGACATAGCTTAACAGGAAATAATTTATAAGTATTAAAAATTGTTTTTTAAATTTAGTACAAACAAAATCTTTACCAGTGATGGAAATAGGGGTACACTCCGTGTACCTAGTTCTCAGTTTGCATTGTTTCCCCATTGGTTAAGCTTAGTACCACTGAAGATGTTTACAAACCCTATCATCACGGGTCAAAGGCCACGTCATCTCGTTTGTTGACTTGCATTCAAATTTTATTGAACTACTATTTTATGAATTTATGACAATAAGTTTCTTATGAAATTGTAGACTATAATTCAAATGTTAGTATTATACATTAGTTAATTTCTTAATTTAAAAGTAAATATTATAAGAACACACCTAAATATACCAATTTGTGTTTGTCACTTGGTAAGTTGGATGCAGCATTGGTTCAAATTAGATGTTTGTGATGTCCAAATACAAAGTCTATAGTTTATTACAAATTAGGAACTCAAATTACCGATATTAAAAAGCTAGATTATAAAATAAGATCACCCTATCCTTTTTTATACCTGTCACTCCGCTGCTCCTTCTAAGTATTTTTTTCCGTAGTTCCTAAATCCCATTTCCTTTCTTGATCTTTATTATTCACACTGTCACTTG